AGAAATTCAACAACGATCATAGTCTTGTTATAACAGTTGCAAGTAGTGGTCATCAACAGCCGGTGGTCTGCAACGGCAGAGTTTGATGGCGGGTGGTTGTCGGCAGTGGTTGGCTGCTACAGAGGTTGGTGGTTACTCGCTTGGTATTTTTGGTGGTCACTCACCTGATATTTTCTCCAAAATATATTATGAAATTTCAATTATCTATCTCTTTTTCTTCTCCCTCAAGTGAAGAGAGGTAGCTTATTTATAACATTTTTTTGAGGGGCATTTTGGTTTTTTAGCACATAACTTTCTTGTTCACTTGATCAGATGGTCCATGCAGACCCCACTTGATCATAGGTGATGTTTTAAGGATTTGAGCGTCTTAATGCAACCGCTGTGTTGGTTGATTATCAAACAACCCCGTAAAATGTAATTTATTTGAATTATTACCGTAATTCACATTTTGTCAATGTCAATTAGATTTTATAGTGAATTTCCATTTTGGAAATGAAAATTAGATTTTAAAATAAATTTCTATTTTGGCAATGAAAAATAAACTTTAATTAAATGATGCAATAAAAATTCTTACATCATATGAAATAATTCATTCTAAGAATATATTTCGAGGTGTGGACTTAATAGCGTGTAGGGTTTGCAGAGACGAGAATGCTTAGATGTATGATTAGCTTTTCACTTGGAAAGAAAATGGGAAAGAAATAAACTCGTGCAAGATTTGATGTAGCTATGATGACGAACAAGATTAGATCAAAAAATATGAAAAAAAAATTAAATTGATTATCTATCTTCGACAACCATAATAATAGCAAGTTGTTAGTATTCTACTTTCTAGTCGAACTTGGATCTAATATAAAGAAATTTGATCCAAAATTTTGGCTCGTAGCTTGACTCATTTATTTCGATATGATCTCTATTCGATCAAAAATTCAAAGAAATCAATTTTTGAGCAATTAATGTTGCTCGAGCTACCTAAAGCGTTCAATTTTTTTAATGATTTGATCACACATTATTATAGCTCTGTGATTATGACAACTACTAAATATAAAGTCTCGTACTCATTGAATTGCACTTTGTAATGTGTTGATTTTTTTCAAGTTTGTAAGTAAATATGAATGTTTGTGCAACAAGATTTTGGATGTGCGATATGCTTTATCCAAACATAAAAGGTATCACCAAAGAATTCTTGAACGATGCAGAGGCCTTCACGGCTACAACATCGCAGTCTCTATCTTACCTAACTGAGGGTATGTTTCGATGTCCATATTCAAAACACAAAACTATAGCACACATAATGCCTAATGAAATAAGATATGATTTATTTCATCAGAGGGTTCAGCCTGATTATTGGATCTTAACTTTGCATGGGGAAGCTAATCCATAAATTTTTCAATTTACTTGTGATATTATCTTCAACTTTGCATTGATGGAAATATTATAACAAGCTAATTCATAAATTTTTCAATTTGGTAACAATTTATTTTTAGATTCGTTGAACTCAGTTGAAGATGATATCACAGGCAAGAAACTAGAGAATAATTTTTCTCAATGGTTCACAACACATGTAATTTAGAGTTTAAAAAATTTATTATCTTTAATGAGACATAAGTTTTTTATGAATTACTAGACTCATGATCGGAATAATAGAGTAACGGATCAGGGATTGATAGATTTTGCTTGGGGACCCATGCGCATCGCAAAAATTTGGTCATCGGTAAATATATTGCCTACGGTTTAGTTGTTATTACTAATGATATTTGATTATTGGTAATAATTAAAAATCCTGTATTGCTACGATTTATAAATAAGAGATTTTTTTTTCATGCAGTGGGTGCATTTGGGCTCTCCAACCATTTAAGCATCACATCCCCCTTCTTTTGTAACATCTTTCAATATATAAAATATGCACGAGAACCCGGAGAACATTCCCAATTTTCCCCACTGAGGACAATCACAATTGTTGGGTCACTTCTTCTTTTTTGTCGTTTTCTCTCTCTCTCTCTCTCATTTTTTCTCTCCCTCAGTCTCACACTCTATGCCTTAGGCATGCTCAAAATGAAAAATTTGCATCCAACATTAGCATTAATATATGAATTAAAATAAAGTGTTTTAAGAAAAATTAAGAATATAATTCATTACTTTTTAATTATATTACCAATCTCTAGGCTAAACAACAAAATTACATGCGCATTGTACTTTTATATTTCAAAATCATGAGTATTCTATTAATGATCAAATGACTCTAAAATTTATTTAAATCATATATTTCAATAGTCATAAAAGAAGAAAAATTTTTATCAAATATTTGATGTCCATAATAACAAACATTAAATGAGAAGAATGATGACTCGTCTCATTTAAGGAGTACAATTCATTGAATACATACATCTATGCAAACTTTGATGTCCGGATATGTTTAAGACAACTTTCTGTTTGTTTTGTGTTTCAACTCGTCCCTACCATTATGTTTGACGAATCACTTTCTAGAAATTTTTGTAGCGGAAAGCTGTTTTTTAAACCAAAAATTAAAGTGTGGTGATTGTATGAGACCTATTATCTTTTTTTTTAACAATGTATATTTATAACTCTTACCATAGCTTTCTAACAAGTTAATTTCTCCACCACAGCTTCTATAACCGTATGTTTTAAAGCCGCAACCACCCCAAACAGACCAAAATCAAAATGCAATTTATTATGATACATGGACTCACAAGAAAATAGCAATAGTTAAGAAAAGATTTAGCATATCTAAAGTGGAGAGTCAATGCCACATCTTCTTTTAATATATCCCAAAAAATGACATTAAAATTAAATGTTTTGATTCAATAGAGTGAATGAATCATTTCTCTATTAACATTAAAATCTTTGTGCAAAATATCTTTACCAAAATGAATAAAACTCATTTATGCTAAGATATGCATATTCATACATTGAAATAAGCCAAACAATGGAGGTCTATATCTTTTCCATTCCTTACCCCTCCCATGAACAAACACCTAACCGAAGTGACATGAAGGAATGTTCTCGTTAAAGTTTTATTGTCTTTTATATCTATAGATTTTCTTAGATATAAAAGGTAATAATGTAAATTATGAAAAAAAAATATCATGCCTAACTTGCCATTTTCTATGTTATTAATTGAGCTGCCTTCTTGATAACCGGCAGCTTGGGCTCACGGCCAAGTGAGCTTGGACTTCATAGAGTTATGTCCTCACATCAATTACAATCATTTATTTCTTTCTGCAATGTTGCATCTCTGTGTCTTTGTCACTCTATATAAGTGCAAGGCAGCCAGATTATTTGAAGGCATCAAGGCATAAAATGTAAGGTTTTATGGACATAAATTGATTATATATATATATATATATATATATATATGGTGGGGCAATTACATTCGGACCACCCCAAACTTGCTATTTACAATTCATTTGTCAAATTCTCTCACAAATATCATAATTCAGGGTAAAACCACAACTTATATTTTTCATTTTTTATCAAATTACCAATTATTTGATCGTGGCACATATAAATATATCGGTTCTTTAAGAAATTCACATGGATGATTAATTTGTAAATATCAATGTTTCTGAGGGTTTGTATGTAATTATCCCAAAAAAAATTATTTAGTCATGATATTATGTCATATGTGCACTTTTTTTTTTTTCTTTTTAATATCTGAATGTCGGTTAGAATGAGTTTCTTAGACAGACTTGAAAAAAGGCTATTTTCCTTTTTTTTTCCCCTTGTTAAAGAGCAATAATTTCATTTTTCTACGTGACCTTTGCAAAAACATTGTGTGGATCGACTAATTACACGTTCATAATTGCGTTTTAGCTAAAAATAAATGTGAAATTATATTGCAGCTAGTTGTTACCCCCGGTTTACTGGTTGACTCATACCCTGTGGAATAATAAGAGCATTATAGGAGTGAGGATGAAAAGAAGTTAGTCCATACAAAGTAAAAGAAGTAAAAAGACGGAAAACACAATTGGATCACACCAAGCTAGTTGAAACAACTTACTTGTCATTGACATGACTTACAAACAAATGAACTTTTCTCAAATTTGTAGAACATGGAAAAATAATACATATTAAAATAATGATGTCCTAGAAGTTTGTGATGCAAGAGATTGGGTGAGGAGAGTGATCTTATTAGCTCTCTTTGTATAATTCTACGTCATGTAACCTTAAGATGTCCAACAAGTTTGTGCTGAAGCCTAAAGATGGCCGTTAAATATGGTTGGATTAGTCCACTTCTAATGGCTAAGCGGGCATGATAAGATGATGAGAAAACATATTGTTGGTTTCAAATATCATTGAGAATACGTTCAAATCTTACTTACTTGACTCATGACATCTTAACATAGCTAAAATGAAAGCAAGATATAGAAATGAAGAGGGGAAGACAAAAGAAAGCGAAATTAAGATTGATGATTTTTTGGTTAGTAAGCTCAAAAATCTTATGACTTTCATTCGGTAGATTTTTAATTATATATGATTTGTCAAATTAGTAGCCTAACTCTACCTAATTTTCAAAACACTACTATTTAGCTTTGACAAGCATTTCAAAGTGAATTAGACCATCTTGTAATTGAATTTTAACCAAATACAACATGAAACCGTCCCAACCCAACCCGGACATATTAAACCCAAAATTAGGGAGCATTCATGTCAACCATGTCGGCAAAGAGCAACCCCGTTTCCATCCCTCTCCTCCCAATTGGCGCCTGGTTATGCAATCCGACGGCCAAGATCACGTCGGACTAACCATCTTCCCGATCATTAACGAATCCACCCCCCTTACCAACCTAGGCTACGGTCAAACCTCAAACATTTGAACCGCATGCCTGCCGTTTTTCCCTCCGTTCACATTTCACAGTGTAATTTTATAATAAATAATCCAAATCAATTAAAGTAGATAAATTACTTTATTTAATTAATATCTTCACGTTGGAATTAGCCTTCCCTCTCTTCTCCTATATAAGCCACACCGGCCAGTCTGATTTTTCTTATGAAGTCCCAAATACATGCCAAAATTTCAGATAATTGAACACAATCATTATAACTCAGGCTTATTAATGTCCTTCAAAGTGGCGAATCCACGAGAGTTTTTGCCGACGGCGGACGCGGAGGACGAAGAAGAGTTGTCGATGTTTTCGAGACGACGGCAGGCCGACGAGATGTCGGTGATGGTTTCGGCTTTAACACGAGTCATCGCCCGCGAAGAGCCGAAGGTGGGTGGCTATTTGGGTTCGGGTTCTTCAACATCAATACCACATTCTTCGCCGTATGATGCTTCTCTTCTATCCGGGCATTCTGCATTGGATGTTGGTGTTGGCAGTGGTGGTTTGAAGAGGGAGAGAGATGAGGGAAAAACAGAGTCAATGCTAGGGTATTATTCTGGAGGTAATGATCTTTTATATCATCTTCATATTATTTTCATTGCATTTGTAATTACTTGTATAATACCATGTTTGCAGCAATGTGATCAAATAGTCCTTTTGTTGTAATATTTACATTTATTTTCTTATGATAAACTTTTTAGATAAATATGATCATGTGAACTTTGCATATGAGTTTCTGATGTATTAGATATATATTTTTAATAGAAATTTTCATAAATACTACATGATTCAGATTCATTTATACATGCAACACCTAAATTTGATATTTTTATTTATAGCACAATGGAAAATGTATTTTTCACTTTTAAAATGTTACTTAAAGTGATAATTTTTATGAATGTTAAATACTTTAGTGGTATCTACTTTGTGGTATGCATGTATAAATGCCTCTATTTTTATTTTTTATTTTAACTATTTTAAAGTAATGATAAATTAATGATATTTATCTTTGGTCATTAAAATGTTCTTGTAAGTACGTTGTCGGGATGTCTGGAAAATGTCGTGGATCGTACCACGACGTGTGATTTTTCGAACATAAAATTTTCTCATTAATGATATAGAGATTAAGTACCAATAATAATATTTTCTAACTATAATGCATTTTGATTAAGCCATAAGATAATTATCAAAGTTTTTACAAGACAATAAACAAAAGTAATAACAAGAAATCATAAGAAAACATAAAATAACTAAACCATACATCTAAATAAAGATAAACTTGATTGTATGTTTAGGATTTAAGACATCTATAATAGTTCACAAATCCTAAGATTTATAAGATAATTTAAGATATTTTTTAATGCAAACTATCTTTTAATCATAAAAACATCACAATCTTGTATATTTAGAAAACAATAATATTTAATAATTTCTTAAGGTCTTTTTTTAATGATATGTTTAAACTTATCTTATATTTTGAATAATTCCTTACCAATTATAATCCTCAGCAAACTTCTTTATATCATGTTCTCAAGCTTTATTATAACATAACGCCAAAATCACATCTTTCTTATCTTCAATAAAACATTCAATCTAAAATGTTTTAGTACAGATTTAAAGACATAAAATTCATATTTTTGTATGGATATCTCTCATCATCATCACATGATTTATATGATTCATAACTCATAAGTAAGAGATAAACATTTAAAATATTTTAATTAAGTTTTGTATGAAACAAGCAAAACGGCCAAAAATGTCATTTTTTAACTGATACTCTTCTCCCCATTACAGCATCACCCTCCGTCCCTCACTCCACAATCTCCTCCCAACCTCCATCAACGCATGAACAAACACCTTCTTCCCAAACCGAAATAGAGGGCCAGCCTCGCCGGCGATACAGAGGAGTTCGCCAACGCCCATGGGGAAAATGGGCAGCCGAAATCCGCGACCCGCATAAGGCTGCCCGTGTTTGGCTTGGCACCTTCGATACCGCGGAAGCCGCAGCTCGAGCTTACGATGAAGCCGCTCTTCGCTTTCGTGGCAGCCGGGCAAAGCTCAACTTCCCGGAAAATGCGCGTTTACAGCCGCCGGAGATTGATTCAAGCGGCCAGAGTATCACGCCGGACTTAAGTGCTTCGAGGGATTATTTGGAGTATTCGAGATTGTTGAGAGGTGATGGACAGTATGCGAATCTGGAGTACTCGCGTTTGAATTCAGCTTCCCCTGTTTCTTCTTCTTCTACTTCGTCGTCTTCTTCCTCTGTTTTGAATCGTTTTTATGGAATGGGAGGGGAAGAAGAGCAGAGGATGCGGTATTTGGGGCAGTCGGAGATTTGGGGAACGGCTTTTCCGGCGAATAAATGGGAGGATTCCGGCGAGCTTCCGCCGCCGTCGTCTTCAGGCTAGATGGAAATGATGAGTAATTAGCCTTTATTATTCATTAGGGTTTAGTTGCAAGGGATTTTTTTTTTTATTTGATAATAAGAGGATTGTAATTTTGTTTTGCATTTGTTTCTTTTTCGGGTGAGAATTTGCGATGAATAAAAAGAGAAAATGGTTATTTTATATTTGACAAATATATATATATATATACACCATATAATTTTTCTGTGTATTTACATTTGTAACACAGGGAAATTTTAATATTTACGTTATAATGTTATAAATTTTTTTATAATATATATATATATATATATATATATATATATATATATTGCGGGTACCATCCCTACCATGGTGCGTGGAGGGTCGAATTATAGCCACATGGCGCGGGCTCTAATCATAGGACCGAATTGTGCAAGGGAAATCGATATTTGGGCCTCTGCCAAATATCAAATTAGTGCTCTATCAAGATCATCCACTCAAATTAAAAAACAGAAAGCAAGGTGATTCAAACCCATCTAAAAGTCCAAAATATTACCTAAATATTTTTTTTTCTTGCTCACTTGTTATGTAACCAATAAAAAAAATATGCTTCTAAAAACTAATTTCATTTTTTCTTTCAATCGCCAAAAATACAGGAGTATTACATCCGGAGTTTATATGCATGCAGACTACATGTACAATAGTGTAGTGCTACAACAAATATAACTGTGTACATCACTATTGAACATGGAGTTTGTATGCTTAAAAACTATAATACTTCTTTTCAAAAATACACCACACCTAAAAGTATGGAAGCCTTCGAGCCACATTGGAGACCTACGTGTTGCTGACTGTTCCACTCTTCAAACCCCACTCCTTAATTCAGACCAATTATTATACATATTGTAACCCCTTAGTCTAGAGGTATTGATTGTCAGAGTTAATATCAACTGAATTATTAATTTGTTGATAAAATTTATTTAATATTTTTAAATTTTTTTGTTATAAATTTGAACAATCATCAATTTTAAATATTTTTTTCCTTTTTTTTTTTTATGTTTTCATTTTTACATCTCTAATGGGAAATACTTTTTTTTTTTTTTTGGTAAAAAGGTTAAAAAAATTCATATGTTGTAGCTTTCCATTGAGATAATTCAAGTCTCTTGTGTTGCCTTCATTGCATCAAGAGTTACAATTGCAAAACAAGTTGGTATTATTTTTGTAAGTAAACTTATTATAATTGGCCTTCTCAATTTTGATTGTTGGTAATGGGGCTTTTATTTTTAGAAGAGTTAAAAAGCATAATTTGAAAGTTCAAATGTGAAATTTTTGCCTTTATTAAAGTTTTTTATATCTTGTAGTTGTTTTCTTTATTATGTTTCTTCTGTTTTTAGGATTGTTGTGACTTGAATCTATTTCGTTGTTAGCTGAATCATTCTCTGTTTTTTCTTTAATCTATATTTAGCTGGTTTGGATGAGCTTGTTTTTGGAACTTTAATTAGGCTAATTTGTAGTTTTATGGCTTCTGTTATTTTGTTTTGCAGCCTATTGTTTGGGTTGATTCTCTTATTTGTATTTTGGCTGGTTTGTTATAGCCTTTTCATGGGATTGTTTTGTGACTTATTGAGTTTTTAGTTTCTACTTTTTCTTATAATTGATATCAATTTTATACTTGATTTTTTCTGGAACGAACAATTTGGTTGAGCTATGATGATTTTCATTAATATATTAAATTTCAACCGTTCATTTGAATTTTATTATTCATTAGCTCCTGGAAGGAAATTTAGTAGTTCTGCATGTATGTTCTAACCTCTAAGTCTGTCTCTGCCTTCAAATTTTTTTTTTACCCCTCAATTCTTTTGATTTACTGGCTTTCTTTATCTTTGTTAGCTGTTTATTTTTGCTCTCTTGTTTTGTTTATTTATTTCACAAATGGAAAGTTTATTGGTCTTCAGAAGCTTTGTATAGAAGTTACTGTGGTGTTCTTTGGATTGTCTATATCAAGTCTTAGGAGTGTTTGTTGCTCTTGTGGATCTAAACTCTCGTGCCCCTTGTTTCTTCTGCCTCTTCTAGGATTGTTGTATTCCCTTTTTTTCTTCTTTAAATAAAGTTAGACGTGACTCTCATTTTCCCATAAACAAATATATATTATATGAAATTGTTTAGAACCACACATGTATCGTACCGATTCAGTAGTGCTTACAGGTAACTAAGTGGGTGTTTTTCATAGGGATTGAGGATGATAAAAATTGAACCTTGGCAATTAGGGGTGGGCGCAATTCCATTTGATTTTAATCATAAATTATTTAGAGTCAGTTCTCACCGAAAAGAATTCAACTAAAATCAGTCTGGTACCCTTTTTTTATTGTTTGCCTTACTTTAAAGCATAAAACATATTTGTTTAGTATTTTTTTTGCATATTTTTATTTTTTATTTTTAAAAATTAATTAATTTATTTTTTGAAAACACTTGAATTATAAACAACATAATAATTCCCAATGGTTTTCCCTTGAACAAAAATAAATAAGATGATGGATAATTTGCAAAATGTTGGGAAGAAAACATTAATAGTTACATAGACTATTTATGATAACAAATAGTCATTTCATTTGGTTTAAAACATGATGAAGCTAATAATTATACAGTATATCTAAATGATTTTATTTATGATGAAGCTAATGTGATTATTAATAACTCATCTTATTAAGTATCAAATGCTGCTTCATTTAAACCAAATGAACTATCAAGGTTCATAAAAAAAAAATCAAATTTTAAAACAAGAGCACATGGATTTCTATTGAACACATTGTTAACCAAAAAAATTGAGCAGGGTAGTGTTAAAAATTAGAAAAAATTATTAAATGATCATGTGACTCATTTGAGGTTGTTAGTAAAGATTTTGACATACCACTAGTTATGTGAACATTTTTTTAAAAGGGTAAATTTTGATTAAGATCTATAGTAATTTTAAGCCATGTTGTGGGTGACAAGATCTCAAGAAGGTGCAAATGATGGATTCATATTTATTATTTTCACATTAAATATGAATTCAAAACCAATATATAACACAGAAATATATAATTCAAAATCTTCTTAAACATCTTCAGCACAAACCATCAAAATTCAAAACAAATACATCAACAAGAGTCGGATACATCATCAAACTTGAATGTAGTGTCAACATAAGAAAAAAAAGCATTCTCTCATAAAAAAATGTTATTTAGAATCTCAAAATTACAACTAGAACCTCCTCCTCTTTTAAGCCTTGAGCTTTCCATAGAATTTCTGCTTCTCCTGGGTGGTCTGGAAACGTCCGTGGCCAAACTTGGACGAAGTATCAATGAATTTGAGCTTAATCTCCTCGAGGGCGAGACGAGATGTCTGCTTGAGCAGAGACTGGCGAAGCGTGACGACTCTCTTCTTCGGTCCAACGCAGCAACCTTTGATCAGAAGATAGTCATCTTTCACCACACCATAGTGAGGGAAGCCACCAATGGGAGTGATATCCTTTTCAGTCCTATGCAAGCAGGAAATAAGAAAAGATTTATCTCATCACAAGCAAACAGAGCCTAAAAGAATAAAATTTAGGTTTCAGTTTCAAATTTGGTTTACAAGGGATTAACATTGTGTTTCTTGTGAAGGGATTTGCAACTGAAATTTCACATTAATTCATATTTCTACTTGAATTAACAGTTGATAAATTATATTATAATTAGAAAGCCAGTATGATACTATAAAATTAAATACAATTCCGTTTCCCTCAATACCTTCAACACCAAAAAAATATAATTCCTTCCCCATTTCTTTCCCATTAATTAACTAACGTCAAATCAGACAACTTTTCCAAGAGGAAAATAACAGCAAAATAAGACCAATCAACAACATTAAAAAAGACATTCATGACTAATATCACATCCTAAATCGAAAAAAATGCAAGTGATGAGCAAAGAGATTACCTATCAAACTCAGTGCTTGCCGAGTGGGACTCATCTCCAGCTTTTCCGATCTTATACACCTTCTTGTTCATCTCTGTACGGTGGTGATAACCGTTCTGACCAGCACGTGCAACAGTGAAAGAAACTCGGGCAGGATGCCATGCACCGATACAAGCAACCTTGCGAAGTCCCCTGTGAGTCTTTCGAGGTAGACGAGTCACGCCCCAACGAGTAACAACACCCTCATATCCCTTACCCTTAGTCACACCAATAATATCAATCATCTCATCTTTCTGGAAGACCGCATCAATGGGGGCCTGCTTCTCAAAGAAACTATAGGCATAGTCAACTTTTTGAGCAACAGTTCCGCCATTCACCTGAATCTCCATCAAATGAGCCTTCTTCTGCTTCAGGCCCTTCATCTTCCTAATCTGAAGGGGGGAAAAAAGCAGGAAAATTTGCATAAATTTAGAATAACCATGATGACTTCACATAGAATGAACTCAGTTGCAGCAGCGTGAACCAAAAAAAAAAAAAAAAAAAAAAAAGTATGGAATTAAACTTGTGAGGATATTTGTGTAAGGTGACATGGACCCATACTCTTTCAGAATTTCAAATACAAAGATTGGATAGATACTTAATTTAATGCAAAAATTAAAAAAAATAAAATAAAATAAACATAATTGTGAAATCACGACTACAACAGAGCAACAATTTGAGCACCGAGATGAAATCAAATGTCAAATGCTGACTTTAGATCAATAAATAATTATAGGAGGCCAAAAAAATTGTTCAATCCAAACAGGCTTCTTTGCTGTGTGTTTCATGAATAACTGTTGCAGTGACAACAATCGCATATTTATTTATCTGCATTCAAGTGAAAATGCATCATATTGCAAAAAGAACTGTTTGAAGTCAAAAAGTATTAGGCTACTATTGTTCATATGGAATTATACTGGCAAGTAACAATAACACCCTAGACTCATCCAACTGTTTGAATCGGAATTATGAACCTTTATTTTCCATTCTTTTCTATTGAACATTGTTTAAAGCGTTGAAATATATTTCGCAAATTTTTCAACTTCTACCAATGCAAATTTAGGTCTAACAAATTTCCTTCATAACCCTGAAACTAATTTTATTACCTTCTCAAACATGTATACTTCCTACAATCCATTGTATATATCCAAACCATTCAAGAATATTTTTTATCACCTTATATTCAATAGATGGCACTCCAACTCATTCCTCGGTTTAGCCTTACTAGGATTATCACACACCAATCTTAATATTCTCATTTATCACACTCGATTTAGAAATCACGATTTTTTAAAGCCTCACATTTGGATACACTTAATAATTGCAGTATAAAAATTTATATTTAAGCCTTCAAAATCTTCTTATCACAAAAAAAATCCTTGAAACACTTTTTTTCCATTTTTACCATCTAGCATTAACTCTAGAAGTTAAGCCAACATACATACCTTCATTTTTTTGCAAAATAGATGCAAAATAGTTAAATCTATCTACCAAGTTAACACCTACTCTTAATAAAGATAATTGTTAATATTATACCCACTAAAATTAAATATAATGTCTTCATTTTTGCTCTAATAATTATAAAGCATCCAAATTAAAATATTTAATAAGTTCTCACAAAAAACATCTAATAGCACACGATGACGACCAATTTATAAGTAAAATATCCATATTTAGTTATAAGCTCTCTTATCATTGAATAAAGTCTTATATATGACCACATGAAAGTTGACATGAATGAATCTTTAAATAAAGATTCGCTTTGTCCACAAGCAATGAGCGCTGGAAGTAAGAAACTGTCGTAATAATGACAATTTCCAATGGCAGTAAACTGGAATTTTTTGTTTAAAGATTCCTTGGACCAATATTCATTAAAAATTTCAAACCGAAATCAAGGATATCTACCTAATTTAACAAAAATGAAAGAGTAAAAGAAAATCAAATAAACATAATTGTGTGATAGGCACCTATAACAAATCTTCCATTTGAGCAGCAAGATAAAATCAAATGTCGAATGTTGACAGTTGGTTAACAAATAATACATAGAAGGTGAAAAATTTTGCCAAATCCAAACACACGCTTCTCTCTGTTTCCACGATTAATGTTGTAGTGATGAAAGCCGCATTTATATTTCACTGCAATCAGTAAGAAATAATATAACCTCTTGTAGGACTGTCAAAAAGGCTCATTGTTTGTGAACAGCTCGTGTTCGGCTCGAAATACAACTCATCAATTATATATATATATATATATATATATATATATATTGATGAGTACTATTTTTTAAAAAAATTAATTAACTACAAGGCTACAAAGATTTATAACCAATTATAAGTACTAATTAAGAAAATAGATAAAAAATTATTATATTAAATTCAAATGATGTTTTATTGTAAACAATAATTTTTAAATCTTGCCCCAATTCTTAAAATCTTTTGGCTACGTGATTAGAGTCATTAAAATGACTCTTTGTTCGTGAACAGCTCGTGCTCGGCTCGCTAAGCTAACTGGCTAAACACGAACACACTTTTTGAGCTCGAAATATAAACGAGCCGAACACAAGCTGAGACTAGGCTCTCTCGTGTTCGGCTCGTCTACACCCCTACCCACTTGCAAATAGACTAGGGTTATAATCAAGCCGAGTTGAGTCTGTTGAATCAAGCATGTCATAGAATGGACTTGGCTCAGTCGAATCACAAGTCGTTCTTCTTTACTACAAGCTTGACTAGAGCTTACATATATATGTTCATACTTGGCATGCTTAATTTTATTAATGATCATACTTGATATGTATTTGGCTTGTTTATTTTAATTGAAGCTAAAAAATAGAATGTGTACTTGATTTTTTTTATAAACTAAAAATTTAAATTAAACATGATTTTTCATATAAACTATTAAAAACAAGCTAAAAATTCAAATAAGAATTAAATTTTTATATAGAGTAATTTAAAAATAACGTTACCAATCTAATAAATCAACAATATAAAAATTCAAATTAGACACCAAGTAAATAAAATAATATATGTAAGTTATAAGTAAACTTTCATACCATCAAATAACATAAATAAGTATTAACAAGCTAATTCATTGAAATAAAAAAATAAGAAATGCATTAAATTTTTATACATATAGACAAAAAAATTATCTTGTTACTAAAAAAATATATATTAAATTATAGTTAATCTAATCTATTTAAAAAATTATATCACATAAACATAGAGCATTTACAAGTTATTTATTGAATAAGAAAAGAGTTGTTCGTGAACATTAATAAGTAGGTTAACTATTTTATTATTTAGTTCATTTAACCTTCAAGTTTCAAAAAAAGTATTCATGATTATTTATTTACTAATTTAAACAAACATGAACAAGTATTAATCGAACTAAGTTCGAGTTGTTAATCAAATATATTAGTTCATTTACAACCCTAAAAAGGACTTATTTGAAATTGATAAGTGTTGGACAACTATTATTCCTATATTATAACACTAATCATTATTATCATCAACAACATCTTCATCATCAAACTTGTACACTAGACGGTTGGCATTATGAATCCTTTTTTTTTATTCTTATTTTGTGTGATGCAGTGTTTATGGTGGTAAAATACATTCCTCGCAAATCAATTTGAACTTCTATGCATGTTAATTTAGGTCTACCGATTTTCATCATCCTCGGGAACTAATTTTATCAACTCCTCCAACATGTGCCCAAACAACTTATCTCTATTTTCAACCATCTTATCTCCATTGAAGACACTCAATCTTTTCCTTTAATATTCATTACTTATTTTATCTCTTAAATTCTGTTACACATTCATATTAATAATTCTCATTTATCACACTCAATGTAGATATCAATTGATTATTTAAAGGCTAACATCTGAATCAAAATAATATTGTCAACGAAACTGCACTAAAAAATTTCTATTTATTTACTAATTTAAACAAACATGAACAAGTATTAATCGAACTAAGTTCGAGTTGTTAATCAAATATATTAGTTCATTTACAACCCTAAAAAAGACTTAATTGAAATTGATAAGTGTTGGACTACTATGATTCCTATATTATAACACTAATCATTATTATCATCAACAACATCTTCATCATCAAACTTATACACTAGTTGGGTTGGCATTATGAATCCTTTTTATTTATTATTCTTATTTTGTGTGGTGCAGCGTCTACGGTGGTAAAATACATTCCTCGCAAATCAATTTGAACTTCTATGCATGTTAATTTAGGTCTACCGATTTTCATCATCCTCGGGAACTAATTTTATCAACTCCTCCAACATGTGCCCAAACAACTTATCTCTATTTTCAACCATCTTATCTCCATTGAAGACACTCAATCTTTTCCTTTAATATTCATTACTTATTTTATCTCTTAAATTCTGTTACACATTCATATTAATAATTCTCATTTATCACACTCAATGTAGATATCAATTGATTATTTAAAGGCTAACATCTGAATCAAAATAATATTGTCAACGAAACTGCACTAAAAAATTTCTATTTATTTACTAATTTAAACAAACATGAACAAGTATTAATCGAACTAAGTTCGAGTTGTTAATCAAATATATTAGTTCATTTACAACCCTAAAAAAGACTTAATTGAAATTGATAAGTGTTGGACTACTATGATTCCTATATTATAACACTAATCATTATTATCATCAACAACATCTTCATCATCAAACTTATACACTAGTTGGGTTGGCATTATGAATCCTTTTTATTTATTATTCTTATTTTGTGTGGTGCAGCGTCTACGGTGGTAAAATACATTCCTCGCAAATCAATTTGAACTTCTATGCATGTTAATTTAGGTCTACCAATTTTCATCATCCTCGGGAACTACTTTTATCAACTCCTCCAACATATGCCCAAACAACTTATCTCTATTTTCAACCATCTTATCTTCCATTGAAGACACTCCATCTTTTCCTTTAATATTCATTACTTATTTTATCTCTTAAAATTTGTTACACATCCATATTAATAATTCTCATTCATCAAACTCAATTTAGATATCAATGATTATTTAAAGGCTAACATCTGATCAAAATAATATTGTCAACGAAATTGAACTAAAAAATTTCTATTTAAGCGTTTTTAATCTTCGTATCACACAAAATTCTGGAAATACTTGTCCATTTCAAACACCTAGCTTTAACTCTAAAAGTTCCTCATCTACATCTCCATTTTTTTTTTCATATAAGTATGAAATACTTAAGAATCTATCACCCAAGTAACATATCTTTTAATAATGATGATTGTTAATATCATACACACTAAAACTACATATAATAAACTCATTTTTGATCTAATAATTCTAAAGCATCTAACTTTAAAATATTTATTAACACAGTGTAACGACCAATTTATGAGTGAAGTATCAATATTTAATTATAAGCTCCATTATCATTGAACAAGAAGATTAATCATTAAATGAAGTTCCACACTATCCACAACCCGTTAAAGGTAAGAAAAAATTGTATTAATGACAACATCCGATGGTAGTACACTCGCTGGAATTTTCTTTCAAGGGACTCATTATCATTCAAAATTTTAAATAGAAAACATGGATGGCTACTTAAATATACAAATAAACATAATAGTCAAGAAAGCAACTACAACATATCTCTAATTTTAGCACTAGATGAAATCAATTGTCAAATGCTAACTGCTAGGTTAACAAATATTACAAAAATCGATAAAGCCAAACATGCTCCTCTGTGTTTCCATAATTAGTATTGCAATGACAACAATCAAACTTTTAATTCACTGCATTCAGTAAGTGATAATACTTCCTCTTGCAAAAAAAATTGTTCCAAATTGATAAGAATAGGGCTACTATTATTCCCATATTGTAACACTAATCATTATTGTCGTCATCAACATCTTTGTCATTAAACTTATACAACTATTTGGGTTGGAATTATGAATCCTTTTTAATTCTTTTTTTTTAGCATTGTCAAGGGTGTTAAAATATATTCTTCATAAATTGTTTTGAAAATATATGCATGTTAATTTAGGTTTGCCAATTTTAAACATCCTCTAACAATTAAATTATCAACTTCTCTAACAAGCGTCTCAACCAGTAATCTCTATTTTGATCATCTTATCTCTAATAGATGGCGATCAATATTCTCCTTTAATATATTCATTCCTTATTTATCTATTATAAATTTATCACACATCAATACTAATGTTATCATTTATCACACTCAATTTAGATATCAATAATCTGTATAGCCTAGCATTTAGAGCCATACAACATTGTGGACATGATTGCAGTTTAAAAAAATTCTATTTAATCCTTTGTGAATTCCTTTATCACACAAAACTCATGAAGCACTCCTCCATTATAATCATCCAACATTAAGTCTGGAAGTTACATCCACACCTACATGTCTATTTTTTTTCTTTCGTACAGTTGATCTACTATACTTAAATACATCACATATGTAACACCTCATCTTCTAACAATAAAGTTATATTTGTTAATACCGTACCCACAAAAATACATAATCATATATTCAGCTCTACCAATTCTAACACATCTTATGTATAAATATTTTCTTTGCATAGTTCTATTAATTTTTCACAAAACAACACTTAATAGCACAATGCAGTATAAATTACACTGACAGCTGACTTGTTTGAATCGAGGCACAAGAAGTGATTCGAAACAAGTTCCAACATTTAGTTGGTAGATAAAAATAAGAAACTACAACTGAAGATCACTCTCATTGGTGAGAATAAGATTGTTAAAGCTGACAAATCGCCCGAGTTTTCGCTCAAATCGAAATTTACTTGAGTTTATTTGAGTTTTGAACTCAGTGAGAAACTCAAATTTTTTCAAAGTCAATTCTCAGTATTTTTTGTTACCACGAAAATGATTTGATTAACTAAAAATGCATATAAATATAAAACTGGTTACCTTTTTTACTAAAAATTGGTAACTTAAGCTTAGTGGCTTGCTATCAAAAATCAATAGGTGGAGAAGGGCAACAGATGGTAAATTTGATTCCTGGTGGTTTCAAATTTTATCATGGTTTTTCTAAAGTAGCATACATATTGCCCATTGGGATCAGATTATTTCAAATCCAATAGCCAAATATCCCCTCAATGCCTCCATAAAAGCACACACAATAAATCTTCATAGTGCATCCTCTTCCCTCATTCACAGGCAAGGTATAAACATGAAAGAATCCAAAACATAAAGCTCGAGACCCTTTTTTTGTGGGCTTTCCTTCTGTTTTTCTTTATTCTTTTAAAGCGGCAAGGTTTGTGGCACTTTCATCCCTCATCTCTACTTCCCCTTGCCATGCATATGTAGGTGAACAATGTAGAGTTCCCACTATTATATTCATTTTTTTCCTACTTCACTGAACCCTTATCAACTATTCAATCCTCACCTTTAAGCTGCTTTCCCATACTGAATAGCAGAAAAAAATGAAGTTTTGATAAGCAAAAAAAATATGAGACCTTTGGTTAGGGTTTATGTTTTGTTCATTATTTTTTATTTGGTTCCTCGGCTTCAGCACCATATTTCCTGGGATATAAGACTATGTGTGCCTCTTCCTTGCTCGCCTATCAGGTAAAATAGCTGGACTTCATTTACTAGACCCAAGTTACCTTTAATAGTTGCATTAAGATTGTGTATTTTTTAACAGATGATAAGGTTTAGGGAATTAATCGTATACTAGTTATACAGTACTGGGCAAGGACATTCTGAAGAAGGCCTGTTGTTTTAGGTCAGTATAAGTTGCCCCTTACTAAATTATTTCATTAATCCAATGATGAATTTTAGTGGCCTAAGATCATTTATTTATGGCATCAGGGAGGCCAATGAAAGTAACAAGACAGTAAGAAATTAAAGATATTACGAACAAAAAATATTTTAAATTAAAAGAGCATCATAGCTGCATGCAACAAGAAGAAAAACAATCAGATTGAGCACCTGAGTGTGAGCCAATACACGGACAACAGATGCATATTTTTTCATCTTCTCCAGTTGAGTTTGGATCTCTTTCTTTCCATCCTCAGATTCATATTTCTTTGAATATTTGGTAAATGCCTTCTTCTTGGACTTATACCAGTTCTTATAAAACCTTCTCCTGAGTTCCTCACTCAGATGTTGAGCCCATATAGTATTAAGCGAACGAAGGCCGCGAGGGGTCTTAATATAACCAACCACCCCAACAATGACCATGGGTGGAGTCTCAATGACCGTCACAGCCTCACATGTTTCTTTCTTGTGAAGCTCTAAAAATTGTGAAAAAAAAAAAATAGATATGATTCATAAAAGATGAAACTTATGAAATTAGAGAACAATAACGAGAATCTTAAATAAATGAATAATTCTGGTAATGTTAAGCTAGGTAAAATTCATCTTATAAATTGCATTAAAAAAACACATGGATATAAATTATTTAGTTGAAAAGTAAAATGCTAAAACATGTGTAAGAACGGGCTTAACTGCTTCTGCAAGGCCCCACTTATATCCACATTTTTCACTGAAGTGGACTGAAACCATTTAAAATTTGAGAGAATTATAAATAGTGAATAATAAGATAAAGCTGCCATCAAAAAATAAACAGGATGCAATCATCTTTTGAAAAACGTGAACTAATTTTAACAAAAAGCCAATAATAAGTTCAATATTCCTATTATTAAGTCTAAGAAAATCAGTGATGTTAAGGTAAGTCGAGCTCTCCATTAAAGGTAAGATAGGATCATAGCATCTCGCACACCCTCGAAAAAGGCAAAATTATTGAAGCACATAGACAAAAGTCTCACCTTAAGGTGTTGCGCTGTGAGGTTTGCACATTGCATTGATTGAAGATATGTGCATTTAATTATTCAAATGTGAAATATGAATTACACAAACTATAGAAACAAGAACTTCATATTCTAGACTAGCAAGTTTCAAGATTGGAGAAAATGAGTCTACAAAGATAGAAAGAAATGGAGAAAGAAAAATTCATAATTAGGAAAGAGAGCACGAGTGGCAGCATAAATGAAATAGATAATCTGAAAGATAGATTATCACTCCATTCATGTTACAAAATTAAGAAAATTGATGCATTTGTTTAAGATAACGTATTTAAGAAAGCAATAACTTGACATAAAATGGAACTTCAAAATTCATAATTTTCCTCTATTTACTTTTAAAACAGAGAATATCACCACATTATCTTAAAAGGGTATTCACATACATAAAAGTAGTTTAAAAAGGATATAATTTTGTCTTTCTTAATACCCCAGTAAAAACTCGTGTAATGCTTAGCTCCTAGGAAAACGAAATTGCCTCGAGAACAAACATAGCACATTTACAACATTAAAATCAACATAGCAGGCAAATTATAACACTAAACTCTACCAGCACAAGATTTGGTTGGCAGTACAATCCTTATAGAAAAGATCTGAGTATTGTTATTGAGAAATTTTGTGATGCATCAAATTTTTATTGAAAAAAAAAAAAAGAAAAGCCAGTGGTACAGAAAGCACAAAAACTTACTTGATCCCGGTTTCTCCACCTCACGAACAATGTGAGTCATGCCCGCCTTATACCCAAGGAAAGCTGTAAGTTTGCATGGTTTTGATGGGTCATCCCTTGGGAATGACTTAACTGCGATAAAATTGCATCAGTAAGAGAGTGATTGAATACTGCACAGAAAATAAATAGGACGCATTCATGTAGAAATGTATAAAAAGTTGACAAGTACATCAAAATTACAACAGTAATGCAAACATGATAATAAGCATAATTTTCTTCGAAGAACAAGCCCTTAACACAGAATTAAATCTTTTAATGGTGAAACTTAAGAGATATGCCACCTTCTGGCACAAAGAAATAGAAATTGAGTAACCAAAAAATGATGCTTCTAATATCCATTGAAAGATCAGAAATTACAACAAACCTGACCAAACAAAGCTAACTTATCAACAATAGAAAACATAAAAAAGTACATGAATCATGCACTGTTTAAAATTGCACAATTGCCTTGCCTTGAGGTCCGTCAGAAAGGGGTGTACGGCTCAAGCAGCTTTGATGAGGCGCATGCCTCAGATTAGTTAAGGCACACATCCCAAGACACGTCTAGCCTCAATTCTGAGGAGGCATTTGTCTCTCTCGTTTAGATTTTTTCCCCCCATATTAGATTGTTCGAAAACAAACTGAAGCCTTAATCTCATGCTAAGAGCTTCCCTCTCCCCAATTCGGCTTCCCAACATCAATGCCTACTTCTTTTGCCATTGGCGCCACCTTGGTCGATGCTGCCGCCACTACTTGTTGCTTCTGGAAATAGCAACCGCCTGCTTCTTCTGCTATAGCAGCTGCTGCACTTGTTGTAGCCACCACCACCTACCACACATTTTATTGTTGCCGCCACCGTCACCTGCTGCTTTGACTTTTGATTATTAATTATGTTCTTATTTAGAACTATGGATTTTATTATATTTGTTGAATAATATGAGTGAGAGAAGGCAGCAAAGCTAAATACATCGTATGCCTTCAATATTTTATGTTATATTTATTTCATTAATGTTAGTATGATAATTTGATCAATTTACATTTACCTTATACTTTTGTATTTTGCATATTATTATGCAATCTATTATTTCAAAAAAAAAAACACAATTTATCACTTTTACTAAGATTAAATGTTAATATTGTTCCACAATTTATCACTTTTACTAAGATTTTACTAAGATTAAATGTTAATATTGTTCTTTAATAAATTTATAGGTTATGATGCCAATATATTACTTTTACCCCTTTATTTTGATTTATGCAAATTTCAAAGTGTAAGAGTTACTCGTCAAACTTCCTCAAATCTTTCCATCTCTCCTCTCGAATGTAAAATGCCCAAATACCTAATTGCGCAATTTTAAACATTACGGGCCTGTTTTGTAGACGCTTTTAAGAAGGATTTATAAATCCTGTCAAACGGCGAAAACAATCTCGTAAATCCTGAGATCCTGTAAAAATTGCAATCAAATTGATTCACGATAAATCCCGGATTTACTAAATCTTACAGTTTCGCTGATTTAAGAGGATTTATTGAAAACAAACTCTCGCGCGGCGTCCTGGCCTGTTTCATTGCACTCTTTTGTGAATCCTATGGTTTTTTATTCGCTCTTGTAATTCTCCACCATCATTCGCCACGGCTTCCTCTAACCCAATCAACTCCTTATTTGTGTGTTTTTCCTCCTCGGTCACTCACACGACGTCATTTTTTTTTTCAACTTTTCATCAGGTATGTGATGTCATCTTTTACAAGTTTTTTTTAATTTGTTTTCATGCAATATTTTCAAAAAGCTACAAAGTTGAGCTGCAAATATTGTGTAGATTATAATTTTTTGGGATGTTGGATATTTATTTATTTTTTACCTGATTTAAATATTTTTTTGGAAATTTGTAATTTTCAAGAATAATTTCATTTATAAACCTTAGAGTGCAAATCATAAATTTCTTTTGAGATGGCGATTACCAGATTTCCTCCAAGAATTGTGTAATAACTTAATGCTAATCTTTTATCTGTTTAGATCCTGGGTAATTAATATATGTATAGTATTCTAGCCGAAGTTCATTATTTCTTTTAATTAAAACTCTTTTTACTTGAATTAACTTCATATTTGAATAAATTGTTTGATTGTGTCAGTTAGGATGGTGCATAGATCTCCTCACAAGAATAATAGCAAGATGTAAGGATTAATATATAATAGGCACATAACCTATTATATATGTAAGGATTAATCTGTTTAGATCCTGGGTAATTAATATATGTATAGTATTATAGCCGAAGTTCATTATTTCTTTTAATTAAAACTCTTTTTACTTGAATTAACTTCATATTTGAATAAATTGTTTGATTGTGTCAGTTAGGATGGTGCATAGATCTCCTCACAAGAATAATAGCAAGATGTAAGGATTAATATATAATAGGCACATAACCTATTATATATGTAAGGATTAATCTGTTTAGATCCTGGGTAATTAATATATGTATAGTATTATAGCCGAAGTTCATTATTTCTTTTAATTAAAACTCTTTTTACTTTAATTAACTTCATATTTGAATAAATTGTTTGATTGTGTCAGTTAGGTGCATAGATCTCCTCACAAGAATAATAGCAAGATGTAAGGATTAATATATAATAGGCACATAACCTAGTCTAAAACATATATTGGCGCCATGATACTGTTTTCCTTCCAAATCTCAAAAAATTTCTTGTAGACATTGGAGACAAAAGGGGCTGCATGAAACACAGGTGGTAGGATAGAATTTTTGTATAGGAGTTTCTTCAAGCAACCCTGCAAATAGACTGCAAGAACAAAGATAAATGATCTCCTCACCATAATAATTGCTTTAAGACAACGCATAGATCTACCATAATAGAGTAGCACATAAACGAAGCATAATATCACAAAAGAAAATGAACACTTGTTATAACCATGAGCATTTCAACTACCATTCAATAGTATTTGATAATCTAGGAGCACTGAAGTTGAAGTTGGAGTATTAATTTGTGTGTGCGTATAGCTTTATATTCACTTAATTGATCAAGAAAGGTAGCATCTTTTCTCCCACATATTAATAATATATAAGCAGATACTGAAAAAATAGTTGTTGGAATTTATTAAAACAATCTTTCCTTTGAAGATTAGATTTCTTGATGGATTGACACCAATAAATTATCTTTATGAGCACCCTAAAGAGAATTCTAAACTACAAAAGACTTAAAAGGGCTTAACTCCACAGAACATTAATGAGCGTTAATGAAATACTTTTTAAGCTTTAATATTTTCTTGAATATTTTAATACAAAATGATGTGTAAGGCAGCAAGATTTTCCCCCTCTTAAGATTAGTTATGTTTAGCTCAATTATTTCATCTTTATTATAATATACGATGCAATAACTTAGCATTTCAAAGAAGTAGGAGATAACCAAGTATGACCACATCTGAAGACGTTTCTAGCAATGAGACTGGCACTGTCCTTAGAAAACACATCACTTTAAATATTCTCCAAATGGACTAGGACATTTAATTGATCAAGAATCATCAAATGTGTGCTACTTAACATAAGAGATGATTGCGGATAAATTAGAAAAAATTGAACAACAAAATGATATTCTTTCTTGCCAACATTCATGCTTTCTTATTAATATCTACTAAATAAATACAATAGAACTAATGAGTTGTTAATTTCGCAGTGACCATGAAAGCATTATTGAAAGGAAAATCAATTCAACAAGATAGTTCTAGCAAAAAAAAAAAACATCTCTCGATGAAGATATTTCAATTCACATGAGATTGCCAAAGGTTTCGACCAGAGTTCTGAAATGCTCTGAGGAACAAAACTTCATCCTTGTTGGGTTATTGCTTGAACAATACTTTTTGGATAATATGATAAAGAACATTGAAATGGTATACCTAATGCAATGAATCTTGTATTGGTACAAATTATACAGAAGAGATAGTGACGACACATAAGGTGTATTATCAACTACCTAATCGTAGTAATTAGGGTTAAGATGTTGAGCTGCATGTCCCAATCACGACTGATGGAATATGGGATGAGATTATTAAGGTGAGTATTTGTGCGTCAAATATTATCCAAAAAAAAAGTATTATAGGTTTAATAAAATTAATTAAAGATCTCATTACAAAAAAATATTCCAAAATGGCTAAATTTTGTAGCCACCATTCCCTCAATATGACATAATTGAGAAAATCTATGCAGAAAACATTGCAGTCGGTGCTGGCGCTCGAGGTTCGCGTAAGCCCACTACTAAATATTTTGTGGTTCGGGAGGAAACTGTGGAAGAAGTTGTTGATAATTATTATTTGCACACGATCTAACTTTTACGACAGATGAGGGAGCAAATGAGTCATTTCCAAGTATTGAGATCAGTGTTGAACCAGAAATGGAACAAATATTGCCACATAAGAGTGGAGATAAACATTTTGGGGAGTATCTGGAGAGATGTCACGAAAAAGTAGAAAACAACCTAACAAGTCTACGATGAAAAGTTTACTAGAGAAGCAAAGTGCAAATGCTACAAAAATGAGGGAGGTATTAGAACGTCATTGCAAGTACACGATGTTTGAACGGTTGGCAAATCTTGGAGGTTTTAAGAATATATCAAAAGAAATTATTGTTGTGCAAGAGGCACTGATGGAAAAAAAAATTAAATAGTAATGACTTGGAATGGAGCATTTTTACATGTGGATCGAGTATGTGCTCAGTTGTCATCAACATTTTTACGCATTTCTAGCTTGGTTGTATTAGTTTAAATTAATTCCTTACTAAGGAATATGGAGCAAACCCCTCACATTCTAGGCTTATTTATAGTGGCATAGCCACAAAAAATCAGGGAAGTTCATTTTTTAGCAATAATAACATTTAATTTGTAAATTTTATGTTTTTTGTATAAAGAAAAAAAATTCCCCTGCTCTCGTACGCCGCACGTCTTTCAAGAAACAAGAGAATATGGAAACTAAATATGTATAAAAAAAATATGTAGGTATGAATCCCAAGACAATCAGACCGTTCAAAAGAAATTGGGCGATCGGCTGAATGACTATCGTCCTTAGATATCGACAGATGGTCGCCAGACGACCAACGCATCAAAGGTTGATTAGCGTATCAAAGGACTTCACCCCTAGGAAAAACGATCGGTTGCAATCAAACTGATCACCATGTGATTCTGCCAAGGATCAACTATTAATCAAGTAAACGTAGAACGGGCAATCTACGAGGTTCCAACCAACAAGATGAGTCAACCGATCTTACTGTATTCAATATTCTTGTAACTTACTAAAAGACCCCTCCAAAATAGCTAATGATGAGGGGTTAATCTATAATTTCATAATCCCAAGGTCCTATGTCTATAAATATGTCTTCATAATAAAGGGGTTACGCACACTTTACTGTTCATTAGTTATTGGACTTTTGAGTTGATGATATGATGGGCTTCATCTTTGTAAGCAGTTTGGATGATGGCACTCCTGCATTCTTCATGTCATTCCAATTTAGATACATGATGTTTGCAAGTATATTAGTTATTCAATGAAATAATCGTGAATCCTATAACTCTGGCCCTCATGCTTCCTTCTTTGGGGTTTCATGTAGATCCTATAAGTGGAATTCAGCTAATAATACATTTTTTCCTAATGTTTTTTTTTTTCAGATTGAATAAGTAAAAATTTTGTTAGAGGACAAGCTGATCACATTGAAGGTGTGCTTTAAATGCCAATTTTTCTCTTATGAGAGGGAGTTTGAGTTTTTTTTTTTTTTTTTTGTAAATTATCTTTTATCAAAATAATATATATAATGTCGGAGTTAACCCAAACCACAATAGAAAGATAAATATTATTGTTAAACTTCGGAAGGTTACAACAGAGACTCTTTGAAATAGAAAATAAATAACAAAAAAACATATGACTCTCTAGGGTGAGAGATAGAATGACGAGTTGTCGGCTTGATAGTACCTGGAGGAAGAGTGGGTGGATGGCAGCAAGCAGGTTGGTTGGAGGAAAATTTAATTTGTTTATGTCACATGATTAGCTATTTGGACAAATATAAACAAAATTTTATTTTGGTCAAAACCTCTACTCAAAATGCGTTCACAGTCCCTCATTGTCTCGTGAACAATCAAATTTTACTGAGGATTTGTAAATAAACAAAGTCTTCAGGAATCTGGGTATTTATGGACATCATCAAAATTTTAAAGATTTTATCATTATGCAAACCTGACTGTTCCACTCCAATATTCCATGTACTATTATTGAATTTTGCTATGCAATAGAATATAATATATCTTCTGCATATTTTCTCATAAGTAACTATTGGAACCAGGACAAATTCAAACCTTATAATTATTTGCACATTTATTCTTACAAACTTCCCATATCTATGTCCATTTCTTTGTGCAATGAAGCACAACAAATACTTTCAGAAAAAGAGAAAGATCTAATAACACCAGATAAATAACAGAACTTGAACGAGAATTAAAAAAAGCTATCCTTAAAGGCTCTATATTGCAAAACCAAATGTGACTAAGAAGCAAGTCTTATTCTTGAATCATATTTTACATTTTAAGCACAGAACAAGAACTTGATAGCTGCTAATTCTTTAGAGGGGCAATCACATACATCGCCCTCGTGCTTGTTAAACCATGGATTTTGTTTCAGTTGTGTGCTTTTGCACCTAAGTTGCTGCTAAATCCTATTAATGCTATCAAATAGTTTATCAGGATTTACTAGGATTTACCTCCTAACATACCAATCAGTTTTCAGGCTTTAGCCACCTCAGGATTTGACAAAGCCTGGTCATTTCTATGATTTACTAAATCCAACTTGAAATAAATCCTACTTGCAGCCAAACAGCCCCTAAAATCATGCAAGTCGTTTACAAGATCCAGAGATCAAATCCCCGTCCAGGCAGTGAAAACTCCAAAAAAGAGGCTTAAGATTCTGTTGAAGAACAACATAAATTTTACCTTTTCCACGGTGACGACTGGAACGCTTCCTTGGAAGAAACCCTAGCGACCCGTGCCTTGGATGCTCAAATTTCCTGTGCGACATTCTGCTTCCTTACCTGTTCAGTATGGCGAAAATCACCTAAGATCTCTACGTAAGACAAAATTTAGGAAACACAAAGAGGATAAACAAATGTTACAGTGACTGTTTCTGTTAGAAAGAACTTTGCTTTCTTCCCCTATGGTGTCATGGGTTCATCAATGAAGTATTTTCGATCAAAAGCCACGTTAAGAAGCAAAATCAAAAAGGAGAAACTGTAAGGCTAGCATTATTTGAATGGAGACAAACGAACCTGATGCTCCTCGAAGACGGCGGACTTTCTCCGGCTGCGAAGCTAAACCCTAACAAGGTTATTTATGAGCGAGCGAATGCAGGATGTTATTTTAACTCGCTGACCAAAATACCCCTCGTGAAAGGCAAATTTGACGCTGTATGCCCATTTAAGCCAAATTGGGCTTGGACTGGCCATTAAACTTTATGGGGATTTACATACATTTCAAATATTTTTATTTGCACGGTGGGGATCAAAATATGAAAAAACGAGGAGACAAATTAAAAATTAAATTAAATTAATTAAAAATTAAATATTTTTCCTAATATTAATATAATTAATTAATTTAAATTTGATTTTGTAAATATTTATCTAAATATATTTTCTTAATATTTTATTATTAATATAAAAAAAAAGTTTTGTGGAAGTTGTCAGTCGCCGGAATCAGAATCTCTTCACCCACTTCAGAGGGGCATTTTAATTTATATATATATATATATATATTTAAAAAAAATTATGGTAACGATACATTTTATATTAATAGTATAGTTTATAATAATTATTAAGAATAAGAAATTTATGAAATTAAAATTTTTAAATTTTGATTTTTTTTAAATATCCTTATATTTTACAATTCAATTAATATTTCCAAAGCCAAACAAACACTACTCAATCCTTCATTTTCACGGACTAAGGATATGTTTAGAGCAGTTGCAGTTTCTCAGTTTTCAGTTGCAGCTTAGCTGTCCTAAGGAGTTGCTACAGGGAAATTGGTTGGTTGTTTGTTGCAGTTGTTTGAAAACATTTGTGGACGGATGTTTCTGGACAAATGATCATTTTGCCCCATATTTAATAATGTTGTTTGTAACAGAAATGTAATAGTCTTATATTTGATACATAATATTCTAAATTAGTTATTTACAAAACGAATACAAATGTTCATCTGTTTCTTAAATTTGTACTCAAATATAAAAATTCAAAATAAAAACCTCAGCTGATATTTTTCATTCTTATCATATCTAATCTATTAATCGTGAATTGTGTAAATGCACCCATTCTGTAGTTCACAAATTTTGTGTGAGAAAATAAAATACTCTCTTTGAGTTGTTTGGAAGGTGAATATGCATAAATTTCCAAAGAAATAATGTGCTACAAAAAAATAGTATTTTTTAACTTCGAGCAACCAGTGAGCTTTGCCCATTTAGATTTCATATTATTTCAAGGATCTTTTGTTGTAATTATGTGATAACTAGCACACATAATTACTCAAATCTAGGGTTACATCAATGCAATGTGAGTTGCAATATTTAATAGCAATAGATCCTATTAACCTGCATCTAAACATTACAAAGCTCAACAAAGAGATTTTTAAGGTTATTTTGTGGTAAATCAGAGAACCTCAAAACAAAGCATAAACTTCTCCATCAAAAACAGTAGTAGAGAGTGAAAAACAGCCTGCGACGCACTCCCGACGCACTCTCAAACGGCCGTAGTTTGCAGCCGCTCCCCTTGACTCAATGCTGATGCACTCCCAAATGGAGCCTAAATCATATATTAAGGGTCTGTTTGGGGCAGCTGCAACTTATCCAGATTATCCAGATAAGCTGTTTATCCTGATAATCTGTTGATAAGCAGCTGATCCGGATAAAATTTTTTGTTGTTTGGTTTGTGCATTTGGAAAACAGCTGATTCTGAACAAATGACCAGTCTGCCCCTATTTTGAAAAAACTGTGTAACTGTTTGGTTTGTGCGTTTTTGTAAATAGCTGATCTTCCAAAATTAAAATGAGTGTAATGGAAATCAATTAAGAAAATATAAAGTACACAAGTTGAAAATTTCATAACTTCAATTAAAAAAATGTGTTTTGATAACCGTTCTTTATATCAAAGAGTTGCTAAACATACCAAGCTCAATAAAAAATTTGTATACTCTCCTATAATGATCAAGTTTGGAAAATGTTCAATTTAAAGAATGATATATGATGACTGAAATAAAAGTACATATTTGTTAGATCCACCTTAATCCTTCAAGTGTAAGAAAATAGTAAAAATGTTTGCAAACCTAGCTCTAACGAAAGTTTCATATTGAATTTTTACAAATCTAAGGAGATGAAAGATTAAAAAAATAAAATAACAAATAATGCACAAACAAATCCAAATGAGAGAAAAAAAAGCCATCCTAAGGAGAGGAAAGAACAAATTTTTTTCTAAAAAAATACAACAGTTTATAGAGCTTGAGCCGAGAGAAATGGGGGCAAGAAGCAGGCGAGTCGGAGGAGGAGAGGAGATACTGAGTCTTCGGCGCAGGTGCTCCGCCCGTTCTCTAATCGTGTGAGAGGAGAGTCGATCGGTGCGAGAGGAGTGTTGTTTTTGCGAGATTTATATATACCAGTTGATGTGGCATATATATAAATCAAACAGGAGAACGTTCGACAAAATGAAAAATATAACGAGAAAAATTACACCAGAAAAGAACAACACAGCGGCGGAACACACAGATTTACGTGGTTCGGCAAATTACCTACGTCTACGGAGTTGCAGAGAATTTTAGTACTTGATGAATTTACACCAGTCGGTCAACTTGACTTACAAGAGGAATCTCTCACCCTCACTTCATTGCTCTCTCTTCTTCTCTCTCTTTTCTTCTCTCTCTACACCGAAATACACCGAAGAAACTTTACACTGAGATACAACGAATAAAATAAACTTAAAAGAGAAATAAACCTAATTTCTCTTCAGCCACAGGCCACCAAGAAGAAGCAAAGGGAGAACAATACTCTTCTTCTTCTTTCTTCTTCCTTCACCGCAAGGAACTATCTCTTGCACTTCTCTTCCTTCTATCCCGAGGAAGCCCAAAGAAGAAAACCGTGACTACTAAACCCAAGGAGAGTCATCCGAAGCTTTTATCACGAACAGGAGTGAGCGAAGAGATGTTTCACTTCACAAAAGAGGAAGTTGTGAGTGGTTATTTGTGAAGAGGTGTGACTCTTCAAAGCAAAGTAATCCCCCAAGCATAGTGGACCGGGCTCCACCGTTTCTGACAAGGAGAAGAGGAGATCGGTTCGATCGAACGCTTAGGCGAGAGGAGGAGGAGAGGAGATCAGTTGATCGGTGGAATGCTTGGGAGAGAGGAGATCGATCGAGCAGTTACGGCTAGGGGTGTAAATGAGCCGAACACGAGCGAGCTCGGCTCGTTTATATTTCGAGCTCAAAAAGTGTGTTCGTGTTCGGCTCGTCGAACACGAGCTGTTCACGAACAAAGAGTCATTTTAACAACCTTAATCATGCAGTCATAAGACAATAAGGGTTTGAGCAAGATTTAAAAATTATTATTTATATTAAAACAGCATTTGAATCTAATTTAATAATTTTTATTTTATTTTCTCAATCAATATTTTAATTGGTTATAAATCTTTGTAGTCTTGTAGTCAATTAGATTTTCTTAAAATACTACTTAATACATAAACTTGATGAGTAGTATTTCGAGCCAAAACGAGCCGAACACGAACTAACACATCTTAGTTCGTGTTCGACTAGTTAACTTATCGAACGAAATTAACGAGCCGAACACGAGCTGTTCGCGAACAACGAGACGTTTTGACAGCCCTAGTTACGGCAGAGAGCGAGGCGAGGGCAACGAATGTCTTTCGCTCGATCGAAATGCGGTTCACGGGGTCATACCCGCGATCCGCGTCTAAGAGAAATTAGGAAATTACATGTTAAAAAAGCCCATAAAATGCAATATTCAAACAGCCGGTGGCGTTTTCAATACGCCACTGTCGTGAATAAGCCTCCCCAAACGCACCTAACTCCAACAACTTTTTAATCTTAAATTATGAAGAAAACATCATTTCATTGTTTAAATAGAAAAAAAAAAAAAGTTTACTATTTGAGCTCCTCAGCTTGGTAGACAAGCTATGAACTAGTTTGATTCAACTCATATTATTTAGATTTAAAATTTATAAATTAATAAATATATTTTTAAATTAATATCATTTATAGAACTGTCTTATATAAAAATTTTAACCATTTAATTGATAATAGAAGTGATTTAAAATGTAAATTGAATTGGTTGGTTTTATATAACTAGTACCGATTCAATGCAAAAATTATTCTTGAGGCTATCCAGACCGCTCGTATATCTAATTCAAGAAACCAACTGAATCGGCCTACTCCAGTTAGAGGTATAAACGAGCTGAACATGAGCTGAGCATAGGCCAACTTGTGTTCGGCTCGTTTATATTTCGAGCTCAAAAAGTTTATTCGTGTTCGGCTCGTTTGTCGTTCATGAACAAAGAGTCATTTTAACAACCCTATTCACGTAGTCATAAGATGTTAATGATTGAAGCAAGGTTTAAAACATCATTTGAATCTAATTTAATAATTTTGTTCTATTTTCTTAATTAATACTTTTAATTAAATATAAATCTTTGTAGTCTTGTACTCAGTTAATTTTTTAAAAATTACAAATATATATATATATATATAATTAGTAATATTTCGAGCCAAAACGAGTCGAACACTAACGAACAAATATTGGTTTATGTTGTTCGTGTTTGGCTCGCTAACTTAGCCGAACAACAAGCCGTTTTGACAGCGCTAAATCCAGTCAAATTTTTAAAACTATGCAATTAATCATATTTTGATAAATATCCTAATCACTTGCTACTTTAAAGTGATATGCTTCTAAATTCTTTTGGGATTAAAATAAGTGAATAACATCTAAACATGCTTGCTCATAATAAATGTAATAAAATGTATTTCAACATTTTTAACAAGGCAAAACAAAAGATAAATATAAAAAGTATAATCACAATATCTATAAATCAATACATTATAAAGTTTATGTAACAATGAATCAAATGATTGTAATACAATAAAATGCTATCATAATATTATGACTCACAAAATTCTAAGATGAATATAATAATATAAATCAATATTTATAACACATATCAATGACAAGCATTAGATTATTTCATAACTAATTGGCTATGAGACAACAAAATTTAAGATAAATATACATCGTAAATCAATAGTTATAGCACATATTAATGATAAACATCACATAATTTCATAGATAATCATTTATATTACTTTAATAGTTGCAATAAAT